TCATGTTCCATGAAGATATTTTGTAAATTTCCTAGTACCAAAATATATAAAAACTTAATTTTTGGTTAGTAATAAGCATTGGTAAGGACTTCATTTGGACAACTTTAAAGGCGATTTTCTCAATATTTTAATTTTTTTTGCACCCTCAGATTCCAGATTTTCAAATAGTTGTATCTCATCCCAATATTGTCCTATCCTAACAAACCATACATCAATGGAAAGCTTATTTTAAAAAATTGACCTTTATGACTGGTTTTGTGGTACAGGGTCACATATTAATTTTAAGTTATTGAATGATTATCAATAAATACCACAACTCAATTATATCAATAAATATTTGTGTATTTATTTGTATATATATATATATATTTATTTTGTATATATATATAGAGCTTGTGTACAAGACTCATCAACTTCCTACAGATGTCAATGTTTCACAGGATATACAGGCAAGTATGATTGCAAATTTAACTTAAAATCAAAAACATTCAGTTAGAAGTCTGTTATAGAAAGCCACTGTGAATTATGCACTTTACATTAGAGTGATATTTCATTTGAAGTCCAGTAATGGATGTTTAATTTTTTACTGTTTGGCTTCGTTTGACTCATTATGTTTTGATAATGAGTCATGTGATTAACGATGGGTCATTTTGGGTGCCTTCACAATAGGCCTGGGCGATAAAACGGTATCGATATTTATCGATGGTACACCCTCTTCGATAACGATATTAAAAATGTTCGATATAGCGCACGATATAGGCACGTGCTATGAGTGACGCAGACAGCACACAACAAACATGAACATCAGTGCTGTGCCTGCCTGTGATGAGGAGATTGTGAATATGTGAAAAAAATGAATATTAGTCGAATTTAAAATAAACATTTGCATTTGAATGTTAGGAGTGCGTCAGGGAGCGTCATCAGTGGCGCACAAGCGGTGATAATGATGTGACATTGTTGCATTTTAATGTTTTCTCACACAAGAGATGTAGCCATGCAAAGTTAAAACAGTTTAAACTTTTAGAAAACATGTCGCGAATTTGTGGAGTTTATTCCTTTTCACTGCATATCATATGTTTTTTAATGCAATCTGCATGATGGGCGATTCGGCTCTTTGTATTGAGCAATGCATACATACATGATGCTGTTTTGTTCATAATTGTTTATGCAATTTACGAAATTATATTTGATTTATATGAGTTAATTTAGACATAATACACATTTTTTTTATAGACAGTTATTTCCTTGCATTGACAATTTAAATGTGCTGCATTATTTTGCTCATTGCGCCCTCCTGTGGCCTCGGGAAACAAGCCAAAAGTTTCCTCAAGACCTATTTAATCTGCATATAAAACATTAGAAATTAGATATTTGTTTAAATTTTATTGTGTGTTTGACTGTTAAAACAAAAAATAGTTGTTGTTTGTCTCAATAAATTGGGTTAATTTTAAAATACAGTGGTTAAATAAAAAAAAAATTATATTGCTCTTTGTTTTAAAAAAGGTTATTAAAAATGTCAATAATTATCAATACCGAACGATATTAACATTGTATCGTTGATACATTTTTTAGCTATATCACCCAGCCCTACTTCACAATGGCAGTCGCAATTATGCAAACTCAAATCTGAGTGAGGCTTTTTCTATCTCTGCCCACAGTAAGCTGTCTTTCCTAAGTGAAGAAGCTGATTTAAAAAATTGAACAATTGAAGCCTTTATATAAGAAAGTCTTCAGAAGATTCTTGGTGCATACATGGCCAATTATTTAATAAAGGCTTTGGCTGTGGCTTATTTGAGTGATATGCTCAGGTTGATAAAACTCATGAATGGGGCTTTTCCTGTTGAAAAGAGACTTTATGCTCCTGTGTCCTTCCCAGTCTGTTTATAAGGCACGACCATGACATGCTTTTGGAAAGTAATGAGTCTCATTTGCTTCTGTAAAACCATTGCTGGGCTAATGAGCATCTCACCCACAAATGTGTAACAAAACTTTCACCGTCCCTTGGGTGTTCCTGATAATAACATCATGATAAAGTCTCCAGTCTGAGGTCCAGGTGGCCTTTGCTTGTTGATTAATTGACTTTTGTGTAGCGGCAGTTTGTTCAGGCAGATAGCAGCCTTTAATGCCATGCCTACAGCTTTAATGTGGAAGAAAAAATGTCTAGTTTGTCTGCCACAGATTTACGGCTATCACAGTTTATGATGAATTTCCACTTGAGATTCACCATTCACAGTAAATCGGCCATGGAACACTTGCAATCTGCATCACGGCCTCTTTTGAGAATACCATCAGCTTCAGTGTTAAAAAAAAATCTAATATTATTTTTTAAGTGTTTCTAATGCTTTCAGACAGGCAGGATCTTTTTGGATTATCTGACTCAAATACATTTAGTAGTTTGTAAGTTGCAATTTAATTTTTGTAAACCTGATCCACACCACATAACTATGTGGTTTGAAATCCAATTTTAAAAAATTTAAAAAATGTAAATGTACTTTATACTCTAATTGGTCAGGAATGATTTTAACATTATCATAAATATTATACACACTTGTATCATTCTGTTCACTTTATTTAAACAATTTATTTTTGATTTAGCACCACTGTATCATGTTTCTTGTTCAAACATGATTGCTTCATGTTAAATTGACTTGAAATGGATATTCTTTGGCATTACACAGTGTTTACATTTTCAAACAACCTGTTTCAATCAAGTAGCTCAAATAAAAAGGACACACAAAAAATAATTTTGCTGCTTTTTCAGTTTAAGGAAAACAAATAAAACAAGTCAATTGTTCATCCAGCATTGAATAGTGAATACATGAATGTGTAAATACAGTTAAGCATCTGATGCTTATGTTGTATGGTTTAAGAGTTACACTGCTTAAGAGTTCAGCACCGCGGTAAAATGTGACAACTTTATGAGTAACTCCTTGTTTGCTTGGGTGTGAAGCTCACTGTTGGACATTAATTCTTCCTGAAGTATTCAAAAAATCTTAAAATGCTGGTAGGGTTTTGAGAATGAATTATTTGCATCTGATTTGCCTTTACCGCAGCCATATTTGACTAATATTCAGCTCAATTAGACAGAACTGTTGCACTGTGACGTCAGTACATCAACACAGTCTCTCACTGCATATTCTTGGAGCACCTTGTAAGGAAGTAAAAGCAACTGGTCTCCAGTTCTACTCTGTTTGGCCCCCTGTGGGGCCAGCAGCTCTCTGACTTTGCCCAAGCTGTCACCCCATTAATCACAGTGAAGTTAACGGTTGGCCCGGTACCGACTGCCCTTACGGACCAGAGCCTACACACATAATAATGAGCCCCACACGTGGGACACTTCAAATGAGATTTTCTTTTGATTCCACTCTCCTGTGTACCTTATTCAGACGGCCAGGGGTGTTTGTATCCGCATGTTATGGAATTAATAGGATATGCCCTATTGGATACACTATTAATTTTACTGTTCACCTGCCTCATGGTTTTTGTGGAAATTCAAATGCTGTAATTGTCTTGTTTCTGAGTGGTTTAATAGCAGGTTGGCTTTTGATTTAGATGGGTGATATCTCAAGGTAGTGCACAGCAGGGTGTCAAGATCCGTTTCATATGACTACTTTTTTTTATGATTTTCATCAACCTTATGAAGTCATTAGCCTTTATCAAACATTGAATCATGTACCCATATGATGCATTTACTAATGCAAAGACCTCCTATGAGGAAGGGTAGCCAATCAAAGATAGTTCTTGTGGAAGAATAAAATAATATGTTGAGCTTTGAGCTGTATAATGTCAAGAGCTTTTCATTTTCAATGTCCCTCTGTGGATCCCAGAGAAAAACCGCAGAGAGATGTACACTAACTACACTTAGACTGACGCCCAATGGTGTGTCCTCAAAAGCAGTTGGGCACCTCTGGGACTGATGACCTTTGTATCGTTCTGTGAGCTTAACACGCTAGAATATGCTTTAAAGAACTGAAAGACAAAAGGAAAGGAAAACACAGTAACAAGGAAGATAAATGAGTTAGCTCCTGCTGAGGAACATGGAAGGGAAAAAAAGAAAAAGCAAACAGAGCACCACTAGGGAATAAAATCAAATCATGTTCACCTTGAACCTACAGTGCTGCATAGTCAAGTCTAAATTTAACCTGCGAGGAGCGGGAATCAGACTGATGTTCCAATCCACAGTTACCTAGAGGAACCAGCAGCCTAGATGAAAGAGGCTCCTCTGCGATTCAAACCCGTGCTGGAATGACGGTCGCTGTGAGGAGACTGCTAATGGATATGTTTGCACATGCCCAGGGGGTTTCACAGGCCTCAACTGTGAGACCACCACTGAGGCTGACAGCTACTGCAAGTCTAACGGATGTCAACTGGACGAAGCTTGTGCCACAGACAAACTTGTGAGGCCTTTTCCTTTTTTCTACATTGCTCATAATGCGTTTTTTTTTTTTTTTTTTGCCTGAGAGAATGGGATTAATTTGAAATGCCACATGCAAATGTCTGTGACACTCCTGAAGCGAATCAGCCTGTGTCACGTTGAAGGTTACAATAACCATTAATAATTGTTTTGATAGCAGAACGGGCATGGCATATGTAACTTTTTTTATTATTGGACTTGAGCAAGCTGTTACATATTCATTATAGAACAAAAAATGAAATTATGGGACATTTCTGCCATGTTCACTTAGAAATGTTTCCCCAGATTGTTACAGTTACAGTCTGCTGCTCATGAGCCATTACTGTTATAAAGAGATGAACTTAGAAGAAAGTGGGCCAGTGGCAGACTAATTGTCTTAAGTGACCTTCATTTACTCGGTAGTGAAATTCAGCACATAGGTCTGTCCGTAGCAGATTCTCATGAGATGATTTAGTCATTTGAGAGTATGGACAGTAAAGATAGACTTTAATCTCTCTAACACACATACACGCACTCAGACACATTAAATAGATTTGTTTGACATTGATTTGGTTTGTCTGAGACATCCTCCTAAGAGAGCTCATCTGTATGAAAATGAAATAATCCTTCACGCCGCTCTAGAACTGCATTGATGCTTATATCAGTGGGAGTCTCTATCTTACTTTCATCTGGGATTGTTTTCTGCTTCTATTACTCCTCTTTGAACGACTGAGTCAGAAATATTATTAATGTCAGGATCGGTTAGTGCAAGTTGGAGAGCAGAACTGGCTAATGACTTGTTTATTGTACTGCTTTTTCAGCTCTGGATGCCTCAGTGCTGGTTATTTCCCTGTTTTAACATGATCAGCTCAAAAAAAAAAAATGTTTTAAGTCCCTAATTCTGTTTGTCCTGTAGGCAGATGTCCAAGGTTAACGACAGAGTGTCTGTGCTGTTGCCAGAGCCGGTGTCCAATCTGGTCCTGTTTTGCGCATTTTCTCTGAAATAAAGGTCTCAAATTAGGAAGCAGTAGTGTCAGTGGTTGCGGTACAGGATAATGTCAAGTTTTTGAAACAACTCAAAACATAATCAAACTAAATCACTCCTGTTTTAATCAAGTCTATTTACTTCAAACAGAAACAAACTTTTTTTGTCTCACTGTACTGCTACTGCAGTAGGTTTATTGAATTTATCTATATGAAATTAAATGGTTTCATTTACAAATAGAACATCTGAATTTTATTATTCACTTTTATTTTATGGCTGACCATTACATCAAGGCCAACTTGTGATGGTATGAAACTAAAAAATTACTTGGAATGTTTAAATTTGTTCTCAACTAGGAGTAAGACTCCGATATAAATAAATAAAAACTTTGATGCATTATGTTTGTGTCACGGACAGTAACAGAGAGAGAACCCAAATGCAGGTGAAAAATATGGGCTTATTTGAAAAAGCAAACTCAGCAAAAAACAGCTCAAAATAGTCAAATTAATCCTTAGCCTGGCAACAGTCACAGAATGGCAAGAGAGTCTAGGAGGCAAAACCACATAGGTGCAGGCTGCTGCTGAAGTAAGGACAGGCAGAGGTAACCAGATGAAATCTCCAGGAACAAGCAGGTGTATAAGCTTGAAAGGCCAGAGTCAGGTAGGAGGGAGATCCAGATATCAAAGCCAACAGAACCAGGCCTCAGTATCCCAGGCAGGCCAGGAGCACATATCAGACAGATGAAGCCTGGCGAGGGGTTGACAGAAGGAGGACAGGTAAAGAATCCTTGAGCCAACAGGAAAAAACAAAACTAGACAAATTGACAAAAGTAAAACAACTTAATGCTGAGAGCTCAAGAGCAAACAACAATCTGGCAAAGTACAACACACACACACACACAAGAGGAATAAGTAGGGCAATCAATGAGCAGGATAACGAGCAGTGGCAGGTGAGGCAAATTGACTAATAAAATGAAACGAGGGGGCGGGGCCAAGACATGACAAATGAAGGAACACATAACAAACAAAACAGAAGCCATGTGCTAGATGCACATGACAACCATAAACACAGGAACGGTATGGTTAAGAGGGCTATGAAAAACAGGTTTGATCCGAGACACATGAAAAACCGGATGAACACAACGAAGGGAATGTGGGAGCCTGAGACGCACCGCCGCCGGACTCAGAACCTTATTAATAGGGTATGGCCCAATAAACCGCGGAGCCAGCTTACGAGCTGGAACCTTAAGAGGCAGGTCTCTTGTAGACAGCCATACCCTCTGCCCACAAACATACCTGGGGGCCGGAGTCCGACGACGGTTAGCAGAGATTTTAACAAGTCTCTCCGTCCGGAGTAGGGCTTCCCTAGCCCTCTGCCACGTACGACGGCACCGCCGGATGAATGCTTGGGCAGAGGGAACTGCAGCCTCAGGCTCCTGTGAAGAAAAAAAGAGGAGGCTGATAACCCAGGCAACATTGAAAAGGGGAGAGTCCAGTAGACGAGGTAGGCAGGGCTGGCTCCAGGAGGAGGGGTTATGGGAGGCCAGACAGCGGAGCATCCGCTCCAAGTCCTGGTTTGCCCGCTCGGACTGCCCGTTGGTCTGAGGATGGAAGCCTGACGACAGACTGGTGGAGGCACCAATCTGCCGGCAGAACTCCCTCCAAAAATTGGAGACAAACTGGGGCCCCCTATCAGAGACCACATCCACCGGAAGCCCATGGACCCGGAAGACATGGTCTACCACCGCCAGAGCAGTCTCCTTAGAAGGGAGCTTAGGGAGAGGAATGAAGTGGACCGCTTTGGAAAAGCGATCCACCACAGTGAGGATGACTGAATTGCCATTGGATAGGGGAAGGCCTGTTACAAAATCCAAGGCAATATGAGACCAAGGGCGGGAGGGAATAGGGAGGGGTTGGAGCAGACCAACGGGAGGCTTATTGGAAGATTTATTTTGGGCACAGACCGAGCAGGCAATGACAAACTGATGTACATCCTCAGCCATAGAAGGCCAACAAAACCGCTGACGGATGGATGCCAGCGTCCTCCTCACTCCCGGATGGCAAGCAAGCTTTGACGAGTGGCCCCACTGAAGGACAGAAGAACGAATTACCTTTGGTACAAATAAAAGTTTACTGGGGCATTCTTTAGGCTCCTCAATTTCTCGAAGAACCTGTTTAACTTGCGCCTCAATGTCCCATGATTCTCCAGCAGCCGTTGCAACACCTGTCTGACGTGCTGGATGTGTACCTGGATAGAACGAGAGAAAATCAGGATATCATCCAGGTACACAAAGACAAACTTGTTTACCATGTCTCTCAGCACATCGTTGACCAGGGCCTGGAAGACAGCTGGGGCATTGGTCTGCCCAAACGGCATGACCCGATACTCAAAGTGCCCCGTGGGAGTGTTGAAAGCTGTCTTCCACTCATCCCCCTCTCTAACACGGACCAGATGGTAAGCATTGCGGAGGTCCAACTTCGTGAAGAATTCCGCTCCCTGCAATAACTCAAAGGCTGAAGACATTAAAGGTAGGGGGTACCTGTTTTTAACAGTAATGTCATTCAGCCCCCGATAATCAATACAAGGACGCAGGGATCCATCCTTCTCCACAAAGAACCCCGTGCCTGCTGGAGAAGAGGGGCGGATGAGGCCGGCTGCCAGAGAATCACTGATGTACTTATCCATGGCCTCACGCTCTGGACCCGAGAGGGAGTACAACCTCCCCCGAGGAGGAGAAGTGCCAGGGAGAAGATTGATGGCACAATCATAGGGTCGGTGAGGAGGGAGAGACACAGCCCGGGACCTACTGAAAACCTGCCGAAGATCATGGTAGACCACCGGGACCCCAGACAAATCAGCTTCCTCCGCCTGAGAAACAGAAAACACAGAGCCAGGAGACAAGGCAGCACCCAAACAATGTTTAAGACAAAAAGGACTCCAGGAGAGAACAAAATTCAGCCCACTCAATGTGGGGGTTGTGCTTCACCAGCCAAGGGTGCCCCAGCACAATGGAAGTGCCGGGGGACTCCAGCAGGTAAAACACAACCTCCTCACGGTGGTTGCCAGAAATAGTAAGACTTACGGGGACAGTAGAGTGAGATATAAGGGCAAGATGAGAACCATTAAGTGCACGAGCCGTCAAGGGAATCTGGAGACGAATGGTAGGGATCCCCCACTTAGCAGCCAGAGAGGAGTCCATGAAGTTGCCCTCAGCCCCAGAGTCCACCAAGACAGGGCATGAGTGAGAGAAGCGATCCCACTGAACTTTGGCAGGAAGAAGAGTACGTGCTGTAGGGGATTCGTTGACAGGGGTTACGCTCACCAGTACCTCCCTGGCTACTGGCGAGCATTGCCTTTTAACGGCAGATATCAAAGCCAACAGAACCAGGCCTCAGTATCCCAGGCAGGCCAGGAGCACATATCAGACAGATGAAGCCTGGCGAGGGGTTGACAGAGAAGGAGGACAGGACAGGTAGAGAATCCTTGAGCCAACAGGAAAAAACAAAACTAGACAAATTGACAAAAGTAAAACAACATAATGCTGAGAGCTCAAGAGCAAACAACAATCTGGCAAAGTACAAGACACACACAAGAGGAATAAGTAGGGCAATCAATGAGCAGGATAACGAGCAGTGGCAGGTGAGGCAAATTGACTAATAAAATGAAACGAGGGGGCGGGGCCAAGACATGACAAATGAAGGAACACATAACAAACAAAACAGAAGCCATGTGCTAGATGCACATGACAACCATAAACACAAACAGACAGACAAAGCCAGGCCGATCAGCCCGGGGTCCTGACAATACTACGACGTTAATAAATCTTTAATACATTAGCTCATCCATGAACATGATTTCTGCCCGAGTCCCATCGGATTGCTTCGGCTGTGGGGATGAAGACGACAACTCCCATGATTCCACACTCTGTCACGGCGTCATCTAACGACGCCTTTGTTTCTTTGTTTGTTTTGAATACGCGCCCTC